CATGTTCAATTTTCCATGCACAGACATTTTTCTGGAAAATTAAATGTGTTTTACTACCAGACAATAACTTCTACTTACACTGAAGTAGTAAGTTACAGTGACTAACAGTATTATAATAATATAATACGTTTTAAGGTAACTTAGGTTTCTGTGTTGCATTTGTTCTGTTTATCAAGAGAATTACTCTAGTTGACTGATTTGTTGCTAGAAATAATACTGTTAATAAATTATTGTTTGAAAGTTGCTTATCCAGGGAAGGAAAAAAAAAATCCACTTGTCCAGTGGTGAAGAAATTTCAATTTTTACTTAATATTAATAGTAATATTACTTGCCAAAGGTAACACAATGCCTTTTCATCTGTACAAAATAATGTGGTTCTAACTACATTGTTGTCTATATTAAGACAGTCATACCTGTAAATATTTTGAGCAAAATTAAAGGATTAATAATTTAATGAGGGTAATTGCACAGTGGAACCACAGGTAATCCAGGCTCGCTATTTGGGTCACATACGGGTTTCATATAGCATGAGTAAATATAGAGAACATACAGGGCAAAGTTTAGGTCTGGAAATTTGTTAGAAAATGGAAATAAAAATCAACGAAACTTACCATGTGGCGAGTCGTTGTTGTCCTTTATATGCACATGAAGTTTCGGGAAAAATAGTCTCCTTCATCTTTCCTACATAGTATAGTGACAAGGTAGGAGGCTGACAATAGTGTTGGGACTCCGATCAACCCTAAACAAGCACAATTTTTTTTGCCTGAAAATCGAATCCAGTTGACAACTGGTCTGATTGAAAAATGTCATTGAGCTCGAGGTGCCTGGTAACAAGTATAATAATTAAGTCCCCGCACAGGCGGCCCAAACTCACATTGCGAGGGAAGGGTGTAATGTAATTTACATAACATAGGTGACGCGCCGGTGTCGCGTTACAGGTGATTATTGAAAATATAAGAGACTTTGCGTGAGTTTGGGCAACCTGTGGTCCCCGTGGAGGAAAGGGTGCAGTTGGACGCTGAGCGGTACTCCCTTGCCTCCATGGGGACTCATTATACTTGTCACCAAGTAACCAGAGCCCAGTTGGACCAGTTGTGATTCTAACGGCTTCTGGCTGTCATTTTAATAGGTAAACATATAAGTTCTACAGAAACTACTGGCTTTGCGTTGCTAGCTGGAGTCAGGGTTTAGAGAAATTCATGTTCCACGAGCCTGGTGTGTTTATTTAGCAAATGGATTCGATTTTCGCGAAGAAAATCATGCTGGTTTGGGGTCCATCAGAGCCCCAGTGCTGCCGTCAGCCTCCTACCTTGTCACTATACTATGTAGGAAGGATGAAGGAGACTTTTTTTCCGAAACTTCGTGTGCATATAAAGGACAACAACAACTCGCCACAAGGTAAGTTTCATCGATTTTTATTTCCATTTTTTAACAAATTTCCCGACCTAAACTTCGCCCCATATGCTCTCTCATAAATCTCAAAGATATTTTCTCTAAAAATAAACCTGCTTAAATGTGAGCACAATTACTGGCACGACACACACTGTACATGTTTTACTAAGGAATAGTGAAAAAAGCTCGACGGATGGTTTTTACCATTTCACCTCACATATGTGTACGGCACATGTGAAAAATGAGCAAAGAAAGACAAAACTCGTGTACAACATAAGAAGATAAAAACAATGCTTGAAAACTTATTTCACTGCAATGATTACAAGCTGACAACCTTTTAATTATAGCACGTTTACCCCATAAGCTTAATTTTAACCATTAAATATGATGTTGTATTTGTTTGGCTTTTGTCTTTGTTAGTCAAATGCCAGTTTAGACCTCTTACTTTAACCTTACCTGCTCACATGGCCCAGGTAGTTGTCGCTCTGCAGCTAAACTGGACACAGAATTAACGTGAAGTACTGAAAAAACAAATAACAAATAACTTATGTTGAAAAACTGTCTCGTTTCTCAAACCCCACATGAAACATTTCAAGTGTTAAACCGTTTTTGCGGTCAGTTAAGCACCTTTTTTAATTGTGCGTTTCTCTTTTGAAGGGTAGACTTGAATCCGTACAAAAACCTCTGTAAAAAATACGAAACCTTTTCCATCCACCGACTTCTCCGCCATGTTTGCTTGTTCTTGGTTTGTACCACGTGTACGGCGTTTTCCCAGGGTCTTCGTTTGGACCACGTGACCCGAGACGCTCTGGCCGCGCGGAATAATAATGAGGCCCAGGAACTAGTTGAGGAACAAGTCAACTTAGGGGCCGACCATTTCACTCTTCAGGCGGGGGTGGGTGATTTTGAAAAAAAATTTCCTGCAAGCGCTTGTCGGAAGAAAATAATTGCATGCAGCACAAATGTAATAGAAAGCTTATGGGATAAAAAGGAAAAAAACATCCTACCCACCAGATTGCTAGAAAAAAAAATTCTTGACGACCAGAAATCACCCACCCCTCCCCTCAAGAGGTAAATGGTCGGCCTCTTTGTTGGAAGTTCTTGGCTTAGTTCTCGGTTCTCAGTCTGACCGAGAGTTAGCCGAGAGCCGGCCGAGAGTTTCATAACAAGGATACTACACCCCCTCCCATCCCACACCACGCAGTAAAGGCTACAATGAAAAGGTATGTCCCAAAAGGTGAAAAAAGGAAGGAGAGGTAGAATACCATGACAAAAATTAATCTTTGTCTGGCATGGGGTTGTAAGGCTGTCACATACGGCGTTTTTCTGGTATGTGAGTTTGTCTTCTGAGAACTCTCGCAAACGCAACGGCAACGGTAGTAAGCCGCAAAATAAGTCGAGCAAGATTTCCCCTGCAGAAGTCAACTTATCGTAGTCTTTAATATCCATGGACAAAACCTAACTGAAAAGTGGAAACGCAACAAAGATTACTAACTCGAGCCCTGAATAGAGCTGAACACCGCTTAACTGAAGTTTATAAAATATTGCGTTCTAGCCTGGAACCAGGCTCTTCAGTCTGGGAAAAAGCGGTAGAAACAGGGTCAAATAGCAAATAGGAAAAAATATCGGCGAGCGAGCTTTTTCCCACAATGCTGAGCCTGGTCCCAGGCTAATTGCGTTCGTTTTCAGTTGTTAAATGCAGAAAACTAAGCTATAAAGATTTCAATTTTGGTTGGACCAGGAGCCGATTTTCTCACAATGCAGAGCCTGGTCCCAGGCTACTGGGATGCACGTGCTTGCACGAGATCGAGGCATGTAAGGGTGAGGTTGCCTAGCCACATCCTTGGTAGCAACAGCCAATTTGCAAATTCAAATATGGGGTGTGTTCAAGTGATTTTGGTATACTTTATAGCGGGCTGTTCTCCCATCAGCTGTCCCATGATGTCCAATTCTAAATGCACCCCTAGTAACCGGTATACGGTATCCAAATTAGCAGCAGACTCACAGAGAACGGAGGCCAAGAAACAAAGTCGTTTGACAGTAGGTGGGACTTAATGAGATAACGCCCTCCTCGATTTTCAAAATCTGCAAATCACATTCAACCTCATCTAGAGGCATTATAGCAACTTAGCCATGCACGCGCCTCGGATTCGTCCACAGGCATCGCTTTGTGAGGAATCAATCAACCATCCAATTAATAAATTTGACAATCCTTTATTAATTCAGACATAGTAATTACATAGTAATTACTACAACAAGTCAGTTTATCGTTGCTTGCACAATTTACTCTCCATGTCATCAAGTCCACTTCATCTTGACAAGTTACTCTTTTGATCAAGTAATATTACTGGTTTTCAGTGTCACACCATTCAAAATAGATCAAAATAAAAATCAAAACGGTTCAATAGATTAGCTCCAGAATCCGGGAGATGAAAGGAGGTAAATATGCAAAGACCCTCGCCAAGATTCAGGTCAGAAGAAAATTTCGTATACGAGATATCCGAAGAAATGTTGTCACAAAATTGATAGAGATTTGTCTGGAGACGCCATGCTGGTGCCCATCCGGATGAGCACCAACATGGCGGCGGACGGAAACCAACACAGACATCTGTTACCGAGTTCTAATAATAATAATAATAATACTTATATAGCGCCGATATCAATATTGCTATTGTCATCAGCGCTTAAAAATAAAAATATTTAAAAAAAATACTAAGACTGCATAAAGTATACATGCAAAAAGTGCATGAACCTACCAATAAGAGTAAAACAATTATGTCAACACTAAAACTATAAAAATTACCTAGACTACTTAAATCGTAGAAACTGCATAAAACCTACTAAAAACGAGATTAAAAAGCACATAAAATCACAAAAAAACTTTCTGAAATAAAAATGTCTTGAGTGTCTTTTCAAAAGATACTACCGAGGGGCTACTCCTAATTGAATAGGGCAATGAATTCCATAGTTGAGGAGCAGCAGCAGTAAAAGAGTTCTGCTACAAAAGCGTGAATTTATTCTTCGAGAAAGTCATAAACATTAAAGTAATAATTTTTTCTAATACATGAACTGTTTAGATAGCAAAATTCCCTGAAATAAGCCATTTCTTTTACCTACAGTGACAGCTGTCTCGGCCGTCATGTAAATGCCGCGTCACGCAAAAGCGTAGAAATTGAAGCATACTCTATCACAAAACCAAGAACCCTTTTGAAGCGAAAACGTGTAAGAAAACTAGTTTTCAGATGCTCTAATTCATCGTGAAAGTAAAAAATCAGTTCTATCGACAGTTTTGTAGTTTACATTTTAGTGACGTCATGTGAAAACCAACAATTAAAAATTATTTTGGTGTCGATATCTTAAGTTTTGCAGCTAATCAAGAAACAACCTTAAACAATTCCCTAATAACAGGATGGGAAAACATAGACTATATACATTCTTTATATATTCCTATCACTAGAATTATTTAAACCTATTGATGTTCTTTTTTCCGATTCTATTTTAAGTCCTCATTATTTCGACTGCGTTTTTTGGCCCAAAGGTGAAAAACAATTAACGATTTCTTTACTTAGCCAGATTCTTGTGGCGCTTACGGCAGCAGTAGTCACTTTTCACAGTAACTCGTCCCTTAAATTATAATTCTGTAGGTTTGCCTGTTCAGACCAGGCTGCGTGTCTTGCTCCGTCCATCTCAGGTGCCAAGTCATTTCCCTCTTCTAGTCTATGATTTGCTCCACCAATCACAGACCCGCATTCATTACACCTGCTTCTCTCCATAGCACCACCGCATTCACCAATGGCGTAGACGTGTCCCTTGGGACATTTGAACCAGTGCCCTTGCGACAAACTCATGGCTTCCACGATCTGTTTTTTCTCCTCTTGTGTCAAAGGATTAAGAGCCGAGTACGCTCTCCTGTTAAAAAATATGGTTTCTTAATGACAATCAACAATTGAAGGCTTTGAGAAGATAGACGAAAAAGCAATCCAATAAAAAGTGAAAGCAAAATCAGTCGAGAATGCTCACATCAGTTATTCTGCGTTTTTGCTGACTTCATGTACTTTGGCCTCCAATTAGAAATAATTGGCTCACTGGACTTACTGAGTGAGTCAATACTTTATGTAGTTTGGCTCTCATTTCACTGTTGGTGTCACGCGCCGGTTGTTATTATCCTCCCGCGTTTCATTGTTGGTTATTAATTTATTAACAATTAGCAGTGAATTAGAGAGAGAGTAAGAGAAAAGAGACCTCATAATATTACCGTTAATTCAAATAGTTAATAAATAAATAACCAACGATGAAACACTTAGCCTGCGAACGGCAGACGTTTCTCCTCGCTTATCGCCGCTGAGGGACGTTTCGCGAGGAGGAACGTACCTTTCTCCTCGCGAAACGTCCCTCAGCGGCGATAAGCTAGAAGAAACGTCTGCCGTTGGTAGGCTATGACAACCGGCGCGTGACCACATCAAGCATTGTGAAATCAACAACGGCTTGAACATAGTCAACATAGTTTTCGCATCGTAAAACAACTTCCATTTCACTTCGCACCACAGCAGCTTCAAGAATAAAACAAAACAGGTAAGAGTTTATCTCTTATTTAATTTCCATTTGCAGTTTACAAATAAGAGATCACTGGACTTACTGAGTGAGTCAATACTTTATGTAGTTTGGCTCTCATTTCACTGTTGGTGTCACGCGCCGGTTGTTATTATCCTCCCGCGTTTCATTGTTGGTTATTAATTTATTAACAATTAGAGAGAGAGAGTAAGAGAAAAGAGACGGCATAATATTACCGTTAATTCAAATAGTTAATAAATTAACAACCAACGATGAAACGCTTAGCCTGCGAACGGCAGACGTTTCTCCTCGCTTATCGCCGCTGAGGGACGTTTCGCGAGGAGGAACGTACCTTTCTCCCCGCGAAACGTCCCTTAGCGGCGACAAGCTAGAAGAAACGTCTGCCGTTCGCAGGCTATAACAACCGGCGGGTGACCACATAAAGCACTGTGAAATCAACAACGGCTTGAACATTGTCAACATAGTTATCGCATCGTAAAACAACTTCCATTTCACTTCGCACCACAGCAGCTTCAAGAATAAAACAAAACAGGTAAGAGTTTATCTCTTATTTAATTTCCATTTGCAGTTTACAAATAAGAGAGTGGGTGCCCTATGAACTAACGAACCAATTAACACTATTTATACCTTACCTAATGGCTGCAAGATTATTCATCATCTCATAAAGCCTCTCATCTTTTATGCATTTGCCACTGGACAGTGCTTCACGTACGGTAGTTAACATGTCGCAGAAAGACTGATCTACCTCGACTTTCTCGACTGTGACATCATGACTAAGTAAACACAGTTCAAGATGGAGGCTTAATCTTGAGAACTCTGTGTTAACGTCTTGCAGTTCTTTTGTCGTCGATGTTTCCTCCATGAAACGCTTTAGGAGATAAGCCAGGTCATTTGCAACTTCGCGCACTGTTGAATAACGCAATAGATGATTAGAAAGACAATAAATTTAAAATCTTACGGGTAAAAAAAGGAAACTAAATGCTATGTTTTTTCTGGAAGCGCACTCGACTTCTCTGGCTAGTTTAGGTAATCCACTCAAATAATTTGAAGCAAATAAATAAACCATACTAGGATTAAAAATCCCAGCTGGCAGGAGGCAACCAGTTTCTTACTTACAAGCAATGTAAAGAAACTCTGGACAATAGCAAAAAAGTCACGTTGGTCAGAGGGGAAGGACGTTTACAGGTTTACCGGTGATTTGACCCGTATTGCTAGTCTGACGCGCTGGCAATGCGGGATCGCCCACGCTGCCTCCCTCACTGCTTCTCTGCCTCTCTAATAATGTTCTTCTACCACTCCGGTAACGTAACCCATTGAGCCCCAGTCTTTTGTCTAGGGACAGAACCGTTGCTTAGGAAAGGGGTTGGGAGGGAAGGATCCAAGACACCCTTGTTCATTTCAGTGCAACTTAATCTCTTAGAAAGTGGAATAGATGTGCTTCGGCTTAAGTGTTTTACTAACTTTCGGGGAATGCAGCGATTGATACACACTAAAAATTTGTAGTCAAAAAATCACGTTTCAAATTACCTACCGTTGAAAAAATTTGCTCTGCATATTTCTTCTGGAAGCACTTTAAGATATTTTCTCGCTTTTTCAATCATCAAGCAGAAGCGTTCCATCAGCATAATTTTGCTTTCAAGAAGAGGAAATTGAAGCCTATTTTTCATCTCATAAACTCTTTCCTTCAGCGTTTCCCAGACATGCTGGTAGTTTTCTGCATTGAACTTTTCTGACAAAGTTGTTAACCGACCCTTCAGACGGCGTTTCTTGCTTGACAGTCCAGAATCGGCTTCGACGAGTATTTTTGTCTTTACTTTCTCTATATCTCGAAGCTGCTGCTTGATGACGTTACCATATCGCAGGCTACAGCGGATAGGAGTCCTACAACGAGGGCATGTTTTTAATTGAATCCCTTGACTTTCGGCCGAGTCATTCTCTGACATGTCCATATACCTGAAACCCAAAAAATAAACACCAACTTGACGTTATTCCTTAACAACTAACGTTATCGTGTGGCACTGCGTTTTTTTGATAAACAAAATAAATCGGCTTTTGTTGGTAAGGTTCATCCCGTTCCCACTACCTAGCAGGGCACTCCGTGTAAAATAGTAGGCATTAATTTAGGACTGGTCATATGCTGAAGCAGTCTATGAAGCGGATTCTTGGGGTGGGAGCAAGGAATATTGAATAGCCTTTTGAAGGATTCATCCGCATCTTTACATCACCGAAAAGAAGGAGGTAAAGGTTAAGTCTTCACTCAGGCCAAGTGACCTCGCAGACCAAAGCTACTTCGATCCCCTCCCGTCCTTTAACGTAATTCTAGTCCATCACTGGGTAACTTCCCATTAAATATATAAGTTCACATTAGCAAGCTTGGGTGGATTTGACACTGTGCGAGTGATGTGTCTTGCCAAGAACAAAGAAAGACCTAGAGAATTACGTTGTCTGAACAAGATGTGAAAACAAGCTGAAATGTCTGAAATGGCTTTCAGTTAATGTAGGCATTAACCATTTGTATGTTCTGCTCGCACCTCCGCAGAGAAGGGAGACGCCCGTTTAAAAGAGACTGGGTAATCATGGGTATACTTTTACAAGGAACTCTAAGGTACTGGATCTTCGCTTTGAGAAACGTGGCTCTAATGCGTCTTCCCTATCACATCAACACCGTTAACAATCTTAAAATACATCTGGATCGTAAAGTAAAAGAGCGCGTCTCAATAACTATGCGCGGCATAAAAGTTCAAGTAGTGCAAACTTGGATGAGAGAATTATCCTCTCTTGAACTGCGATGACTACAGCTACTAATGTAAGATCAACCTCTACGTAGGGTATTACATACCTGTCAAGATCAGACACTGCAAAGATGTGTCCACAGTCTGGCAGCTTCATAAATCGTGCGTCCTCATCTTCCTCTCCACCTAAGAAGATTGTCGTGATGGGATCGACACCGTCATTTTTGTCGCACACTGTACAGATGCATTCCTTTTGGCACTCTAAAGCGCGACAAACATGATAGCACGGGAGAATTTTTTTGCAAGGTCGGTTACATCGTGGCCTATCACACATCTCATGGCACCTCTTGAAACACTTGTGATGGAGACATTCCCAAGAACACGGCTCGCGACATGGTACACATGAATGTCCACACTTTTTCGTACATTTACTGTGTACGCAACGGTTTTCGCAGGTTTGTAAACAAGGTGGACATGGCACAGCGCAGGCTTTTTTGCATACATGTGAACAGACCAACACACGACCGCACCTTGATTTGCATTGTTGATGTATTCGACCCATTCGACACTCGCCACACGTTCCTGGGCATGTGTGACCACAGTCCAAATTAGCCCTACATGGAACTGGGCAGTCATAGGGTGTGGCTGAACAGGCAACAGTAACTTCATGTCCACAGGGCCAATCAGTTCGCTTCACAAGCTCCATACATTCCGTGGTACATGGACCTTGGCAATAGTTTTGGCAGCGATGATTGCAAGACAAAACGTTGCTACATCTTTCTTTGCAAGGAATTCTGTTGAGATCAGTAAAGCATTCTACTTGTGTGATGTGACCACAAATAGGCAACGCTTTCTCCACAAGCACCTTACATTGCATTTCACAAGGCTCACTACAACGATTTGGACACGTATGAGTGCAACCTTCAATGTTTCTTCCACAAGGTTCCCCGCAGACGTACTTCTCATGTTTAGGGTCACCTGGATGGCATAAGAGCTTGCAGGCGTGACCGCATCTCAGACGTACCTCACATCTCCGTTGACATCCCCCGTCAGGAACTTTTTCACTAAAATCTTTTGCTGTTTCAGCTGCCACTTCATCTTTGTGGGTTTCACAAACAAGAGGCAAGGCGTTTCCGATGCTGTCACTCGCTTTTAAATCCGCCACTATTTTGCTCCAGATCTCACTGTGCTTACAAAAAAGATCAAAGTTTCCAATGCAGTAGAACCCCTTCTTGGCACGGGAGAGCGCCACGCATGCGCGGTTCACAATCTTGATAAAACCAACTTTTTCGTTCTTGTTACTCCGCACTAGGGAGAGAAGGATGATGTCATTTTCTTCACCTTGAAAATTGTCAACGGTTGACAGGCGAACACCTTTGAATTCTTCGCTGTTTTGCTGTTTGATGCAGTCCTTAATTGCAAACACCTGTCCAGTGTAGGTGGTCAATAATGTTATTTGTCCAGCACTGTAGCCTTGTTGAAGTAAGTAGCGACACAGGGCAACCAGGAATGCAGCTTCGTGCTCGTTAGAGTGACTGTGCGATTCATCATTACTGTTTTCTAAATGACTGTGGTTGACAAAGAACATGTTCTTCTTAATTCCTTTGATATCTTCATATTCTTTCACTGACTCGTGACTCTCAAGGTCTGGGTAAATGTGCTTTAACAGAGCAGCAATTTCAGGCCTCATGCGATGTTGAACACACAGTTTCTCGCACGGGATTCCAACATTCACCATTCTCTCGAACAACGACACGTCCAGATTGTACCTTTTAGCCAATTCATAGACAGTGGGGTTGGGTCTAAGTTGCTGATGATCGCCGATCAAAATCAATTGCTGGCAACCTTTTGATAATGACGTTATAAGATGAGACTCCAACACTTCAGCAGCTTCTTCAACCAGAACGATTTTCGGGGAAATCCGCTGCAGAATGTGACGGTACCTTGCAGCGCACGTGGTTGTCATGCCAATGACACGTGCCTGTTGAAGAACATTGTATTCTATCATGGTGTCTAATTCTTTGTCACGAGACAGCGCTTCTTCGAACTCTACTTGACAACTTTGCAAATTTTCCTGTTGCTTTTTTTCTAGCCTTTGACACCACAGTCTGTATAACCTCCAGCGGTCGTGTCTGCACAGCGTTATAAGGGAGCCAACACGTCGCTCTTCGTCTTCACTCATTACTTTCCTCTTTAAATTTCTTTTCATGTGATTTGGATTATCCGAGTCCTTAATCGAGAGAACGGTTATTTTCTGAAGTTTGGTCATCGTATGTCCCTCGATGTCTTCTTCGTCGCTGTCAAAATCGTAACCAGGGACAGATACCTCCATCAGAATATCATCTCTGTTATCATCGTTTGCATTCGATGTGCCATTCCTCGCGATGTCAAGCCACTCTAACAGCTGATCATTGATAGACAGTCCTTTAGCTAAGGTGCGAAATTCCCTGTAGTGTCTCCTTTGTATGCACTCTTGGTCTCTAAGGAAATCTAAGGAGATGATACTTGACTTTAAGGCCTTCATCAACAGAGACGACTGCTGAAAGGATTGTTTTTGCATTCTGATGTCCTTCCTTGTCGTTCTTCTAGCATGGGCAACGGTTGATGCTCCCATGGGTCTAAGTGATTTTAGGTTGAATGGCTTCAAAGTGATACTTTTGCTCCGCCCACCAACACGAACGATATCTGGCAAAATGAAGAAAATCTTTTTTAGAAAACTGCTGAATAAAGTAAATGTTAAGGTGAAAAAGTACATTCTGGATTCGAGCCGCCATGTGGCTCATCAGATCGGAGCTTAACTCGGTTTCTGTAGCTTGAAGCGACTAAGGACACTTACCCGCTCCCTTGGACGGAATACCAGTGCATCGCCGGGTTACCCTCAGCATTAAATTCGTCGGTATCCATCACACATGGATAGAGCAAGGCAACGTGAGAGTAAAGTGTGCTGCCCAAGAACACAACACAATAACCCCTGTAAGGCCTGAACCCGGACTTCCTAATACGGAAACCCAAACCGTTTTAATCACTGGGTCACCGCGCCTCCCACGTAAAGAAAATGGGTCTTCTGTGTCTTGTTTTGTGCAGTTATTAATATTTTTTTCAGGCATAAATTCTCGTCTTTAAAACACAGTGATCTGCCCAGCTGCACATAATGCAGTGAAAGTGATCTGAAAGTACAACGCCTAAAATACTTTAAGGGTGATTTTTAAAGGAATGACATTTTTGCGTTAACCAGACTTTGCAAATTACTCTTTACATATCGAATCAGCAGAGGTTGCCGTTTATTCAAATCGGCACTGAATGTCATCTAAAATCTAAAAACGTAGCATCAGAAATTCTCTGACATGTTATTCCTCTCTTTTAGCGGTTAGAGTGGTTTTTAAAAACTCTTTTGAAACCCTAGGAGTCCAATTCTTTGCATTCTTTACATTTTAGCATGTCATTGATATATTAGGGTCATTATTATTTGATTGAGCGAAGATATTTTTCCCATCTCACCTTGATTGGAGATTAGGCCCTCTAGGAACTGGTCCAAGGCGTGATTCGTATATGAGACCATCAGGATTGGAGAACTTCCCTTCTCGTCTTGCCAAAGTGACGTGTTATCTAGAAGTGCTTGAGCTATTTTCAATCCAACAAAGGTCTTCCCGGTCCCGGGTGGTCCTTGAATTAAAGCGAACTCTTTGGTTAGTGCCAGTTTAAACGCCCGCATCTGTGATTCGTTAAAGCCCAAACTTTCTCTATCAGGCCAATTGAAGATTTCATGAGGCATTTCCTTGTCCTTAACATCGTCTGGAATATTCAAGGACTCGGTACATGCTTCTGATGACAATTCTCCCGACCCCTCTCCCGGTTGGCTGGAATCTGTCTCAAGCGCATGCTCACTGGCCACCTGTAACAATTGGTGATTAATGACGAGTGTTTTTGGAGATTTCTTCTTTGCCAAAACACCATCAAATTTAAAGGTGAAAGAATTATTCTTTTCATCACCTTCCTTTCCATTTAGCTGATACGCTGGGGGTCCAACGTCCTGACAGCATTCCACAATGTATCGCTGAAATGGAAATTCTCCAGGGTTGATCTCCTTCAGCCCTTCTAGTACGTGTCTGTAGGATTCATAGTAAGCATCAGATTCTACCATTACAAACGTCTCTTTGCTTTGAATAAACCGATTGACTTCCGCGGCTTCAGTGTTTTCAAACCGCACTTCCAGTTCTCCGTTACTAAGCCCTTCGGAATCACGGTTTTCCACAGACGCCAAGACAAGTGTGTTAAAATCATCTGAAGACAGGCAAAGTAGCGAACCAAACTTGAGGCGCTTAGATCTCTCCCACTTAATTCGCCTCACTTTGGAGTGAGACTGGTTAAACTTGATTTTGAAGACCCTGCCTTTCCTGTTACATACAGGATACAGCACTCTTACACCATGGTATACGGAGACATCATTTGCTCGTCTAGTATTGCTTGTGGTCGGTTCTAACAAATCTTTATCCTTTGTGAGCTGCCTAATGCCATCTCTAAGGGGCATTACAAAATCCTCCCTTAGCAACCGAAACTGGACATCAAGGTAATGATCAAGGTCGTTGAACCTTCTATCCGTAATGTTCTTACGAAGGAAAGGCCTGGAGTAAAGTAGGTCTGCCGCAGAAGGAATAACGCTTAGTTTCCTAAAATTTTGTGGAGGTTTTAACTGGGATTCCTGATCATGCGCAGACATTGCCAGGCGAATCACGTCATCCTTTAGCTCGGTTACATGATGAAGCTCCTTTTCAAGATCGTCGGCGTTTTCGATGAGATTCTTTTCCTTTAATAAGGCCAAGGAGACGCTGAGCTGTGGAATAGGAAGACTGTGCACAATGCTTTCACGCAATTTCTGAATCATCGTCAGAAAAATGGATATAAGATCCATTATAACAGTGTCAACCCCAGAACTGTCACCTAGATAGGCCATCTGGTTGATAAAACTCGAAAGAGCTGTTCCAGTGAGAAACCTCTTTGCTTTAGTAGAACGAAGTATCTTCTCTGCGTTTGCGGTCATGATGATGTTTGATGAACACAGCATACGAAAAGAAGTAATAACAAGCTTTAACAAATCCGGTCTTATATCGTCCATGGATAAGAGTGCTTCGAACTGTCCGGCTTTTCTAGTTAATTCTACTACGGCCTTTTCTGGGAGTTCTTCTCTACAAATGCTCTCCAGCGCCTTGAATCCAATAGGCTTCGAGTCATGACCGGTGTCAGTTTGTCCACCCTCTCCATTCATCCGTCGACGTTTCGATCCCTCGATGGCTCTCGGAACATCATCAGACCGACGCTTTCGATTACGAAAATTATTAGGCCTTCCTGGGATCTTCCGCGGTTCTCTGTGACTTGACATCTAAGAAGTATCAAACCGTGTAAAGATTATTTTTTCCCCAATAGTGTTAAAAAAGGAAAAAAAAGAATCAGAGTGTTTGCAGGTTATCCTAAACCTTACTGTGAAGAATTGCTTTTTTGGTTTGCCTGAAAAAAAAAAGCACCAGAAAGTAGAAACTGTTTGAAATTTGCCTTTAAAGAGAATTAAGGATCAAATGATACCATACTGTAAATGGTAAGTTCGCTGGGCATAATCTTGTGATATCAGTACGATATTCGCACCTCAAACGACATACAACTTCATGTATTTCAAAGCAAAGGATTCACATCAACATCTTGACATCAACAATTGTCTGGTCAAATTTCTTTCCAAATGTGGAACGTTTTGCGAAAATTTGAGAAACAAATTAAAAACCATAATACGCCACTTCCGAGTTCCACAAACCCTCGGTTTCAAAATGAGGCCAAGTGCACAACCGTTCTTGTGAAAATGAGTCTTTTTGCGTGAAAATGAAAAATAATTTTCATATCAAAAGCTGAGCACTTAACCTTGTTTTGATGCAAAGTCCCGGGGAACTAGGAAATGGCTCTTTCTTGTCGATTTTGTCTGCATCAGTGGAAAAGTAAAGGAAACGTGATAGAGTGATTTTTCTTAACTCGTGAAATAGGTAGTAGAATATTACGCACTTTTATGCACAATTTCCATTGTTTTCTTCTGTTTACCTCTTGCAATTTTTGCACTATTTGTTATTACTGATCTGTTTCACGGTTCAAGTAAATTCAAGTAAATTTGGTTATTACCGTTGACGCAATCTTTATGGCTTCGCCGGCTGGTCAGTGCGAAAGAGGAATTATATTATTAATTGTTCAAGGGGTTTGTAGCCATTTTGATTTAGTCTAAGAAGGTTTAAGAATTCGTTTGGTCATCAAAGCAGAGTTCTGTCAAAGAAATCCAGAAAATAACTTCAGCAACTTGCTGCATAAATTGCATAAGCTTGTGGCGTGCATGCTCAGGTAGGACTTTGCAGGATGTTTAAGCCCGCAAGGAAATTAGCAGTTTTTCAGATCCAAATCATAATCACCTCAATTAATTATGTCTTATATATTGCTTTTGAAGACTTGAGATGCTCAAATCTAATTAATTAGTCGATTTTAGGTGATAGTGTCTCAGAGATGGGTTAAAACTGGTGCTTATTTCCTATTTCTTAGCTATCTAATCATTTGTGAATATTTTGGGCTCTCAGATCTCAGCAATCAGTGACAAACAAAAATTCGTGAATTCGCAGCCGACAATAGTTAAAAGCGATTCCCAATCGTCGGTTAGTTAAAACCAATCCCCAAAGTAATTGCATCTGCATACATTGTCCGCCGCTGTTCGATGTATTTTGCAAACTATGAACTGATTATGAACTAGCCCTTTCCTGCAAAATTTCCTTAGGGAAGTCGTTATGAAAATATTAAAGTTTGCATCGTATGGTTTCCTTCTTGACAGAAACCTATAGTTGTTGCAGCTTACCTTGAAGGTTATTTATCTGTGCATTTCCTCAACAAACTCTGTGAATGAACACAGTATGCTCTTTCTATTCCAACCAGAGCTATTCCGAGAAATATTCTTCTTCCTCGGTAATTTCACAGAAACACCCTCTGACATCACAACGACTCCAGCTGCTTTCTTTTTGATTGGCTAAAACATTTCGAGTTATTTTTAGGTACTGTTTCTCAGACATAAGACAAAACAACTTTTCTTTAAATGACATCTTCACTTTTTTCACGATTTTTTCCATCTTTCTTTTCACTTTACTTTTTACGTATCTAAAAGGTCTAAAATTAGCTCTAACGGAACACTTAAGTTCGACTTCTTTCTTTATGAAAACTACAATCAGTATAAAACTCAATTAATTTTACACGCTTGACTTCATTATCTCCAGTTCTCCGTGACAAAGATCGCTGACATCAGTCCAATTCTTTTGCTTTCTACTAAGTATCAAACAGTCAAGATTTGCTATTGCCTTCCATTTTACTGTTATTTTGAAAAATTGTCCCCCTTTGAAGTCACCGCTTCGAAGTCAATGAGTCATTTTCCAAAAGACAGCCTCGCCGTTCTTTAAAAGGCCGGATTAAACCTGCCTCGAATCAACAAACCGTTAAAAGACTCCAAGTTGACTTATATTTGAAACACTAAATCATTTCCTTTGAGGACCAGGCGCAAATGTATCTAAACGTCGATTTTTTTTTTCTGCAAAAATCTGAGAGACAAGGTCCACAAACTCGCAACTAAAGGCCCACAAATTCGCCAATTTCTTTTGCATACCGGTTAAGACAAACATTCAGTTCATCGACTTACCGTCGGGTTGATTTTTAGTGCATTTCTTGGTAAAAACAAGGTAAACCATACGAGGAACAGTGAAACAAGTTCCCTTGAAATGAGCTGGCGGGGTCTGTTCAAAGAATAATCTGGATTTCCGAGAAACCTACCTCCTCTAATAATAACATTGCTACGTCAAGCCCTTTCATTGGCTAGAACCTTGAGCAGCAGCCAAGTGAACTGGGCGCTAGATCACACCCCAGTAATCCAAGTTGCGCTAAGGGTATCCTACGAAAATTTATTGCGAATTAGAAAATTCTATTCAATTCTTTATTTTACACTATACAAGGCATTTACAAACGGTTTTATACAAGTAGCAGGAAAACAAAAATAAATGGTAAGTAATCATTAAGCTAAAAAAGAGGTAATGTACATATGTGCAGTGCAGTGTTCAAAGGAGCAAGAGCTTTCTAGTTGGACACCGTCACGTTAAGATGAATGGCAGCAGAAAAGAAAAGAAAAACACTCAAATTTTATCAGTGATGGAGCATGCAAAGTAAGTAATAGCCGTGCGGCGGCCGTGTTCCGTTTTCACGTAGGCTTATAAAGAGCAGAGAAGTTTCCTTTTACAGTGATGAATCGAGTGCGGCTATTAATATTTTCCATGATTTTCATGGTTGACAAGCGGCTTTACACTCTGAATACCTGACGGTCCGATTCACTTCCCAGACGTGTCCTCACTGCAAGGCCCCCACTGCAAGCAGTACCTATTATCCCACGAAGACGGCCGCCATTTTGGTTTAGAACTTGATTGTAGTATTTTATTACATGTTATATTCAGCGTGTTAACAAATACTTTACTTGTGCTACTGTTACTTTCCACATACCTGTCGCGATGAAAAATTATCATGGCTTTTTTTCTCTTCCTCTTGGCTTGACGATATTGATTAAAGTCTTAAGACGAATAACTTTACGCAAACTCATTCCCGTCAAAATAGGAAAAATTCTGTATAATGGTGAATTGCCGCTGGTCATTAGGAAGGTAAGAAACCAGCAAGGTGGGGTGAGGGGGTGTAAGAATTTTTTTGACGTGGGCTCATTTTGTGCATTTATGATCAACTGACCTCTTGCTTTCGCAAGGAACATTTCTTAACTTGCATTTCTTTTTGGGTGTGAACAAGACGACTAGCTAACGTGCCCAATGAGTTTCACAAGATAGCTTCTCATTTTCGTTCCCAAAGCCAACCGGCTCTTTCAAAAGATCACGTGGCTGAAAGCAACGGAGAGCGATTGAGAAGTGATTCTATGAGAAAATGTAGTTTGATTGAAAATAACTTCTTAAAAATAAAGCACAATGAAGAATGTGGTTTGAATGAGAATAACTTCACCTTGAGAATTTCCCCCCAAAATAAAAGCAATACAAGGATTTTGTTGTACCTAATGAAGTCGTCCATCAAACACCTCTTCAATCAATTTAATGGCAAACAAACCAACCGATTAGGCCATTTCCGAATTGCCAAAGCAGCCTCTTTTCCAAAGCTAGACAAAGTGAGAAGCAATTATTGATATGAAAATGATTTTATTCTCATGCAAATATAACTCATTGTCACCGGGGGGAGGTTTAGTACTTAGCCTCGTTTTGAAAGTGAGAGTAATTGGGCCTATACGCCACTTCCACATTTCCCATAATGCACCTTACTTGCCCCCCCCCCCCCAAAAAAAAAAAAAAAAAAAAAAAAAACAAAAAAAATAATTAAAAATTAAGTGAGGAAGGAGTAAGTGACAAGAATAAATAAAAAATAAAAAAAAAAAAAAATATTAGAAGAAAAAA